TAGTTGAGGACCATAATACTCCTCTCTCAACAGTGAACAGATCATTCAGGTAATAAATTAGCAAAGAAACACAGGATTTAAACTATGCTTTATACCAACCACACTTGACAGAAATCTACAAAACATTTCATCAAACAGTACATTCTTCCCATCAGCACATGGAACATTCTATAGGAGAGATCACATGTTAGGTCACAAATCAAGTCTCAATAAATTTTAAAAAATTGAAATCATTTCAAATAACTTTTCAGACCACAATGAAATAAAACTAGAAATCAGTAACAGGTGAAACTTTGGAAACTATACAAATACAAAGAAATTAAACAATATGCTCTTGAACAACCTATGGGTCAAAGAAGAAATTAAATAGGAAATCAAAAAATTTCTTAAAACAAATGAAAACAAAAGCACATCATAGCAAAATCTGTGGGATACTGCAAAAGCAGTACTATGGGGGACTGCAACAAATGACTACATCAAAAGAATAGAGAGACTTCAAATAAACAACCTAACACTACACTTAAAAGAACTGGAAAAACAAGAACAATCCAATACCAAAATTTAGTAGATGGAAGGAAATAAAGATTATAACAGAACTACAAAGATCAAGATCAACGAAACCAAAAGTTGGGTTTTTGAGAAGATAGACAAATCATTAGCTAGACTAACTAAAAAAAGAGAGGAGACCCAAATGACAAAAATCAGAAATGAAAAAGGAGACATTACAACTGATAATACAGAAATACAAAGAACCATTAAAGACTATGCTATAAAATTTGAAAATCTGGAGGAAATGGGTGTATTTCTAAACACATACAAACTACCAAGACTAAACAAAGAAGAAACAGAAATCTGAACAGACCAATAACGAGCAACAAGATTGAAGCAAAAATCAGCAGCCTCCCAATAAAGAAAGTCCAGGCATGGATCAAGTCACTGCTGCACTCTATCATACCTTTAAAGAAGAATTAATACTAATCCTTTCCAAACTATTCCAAAAATTGAAACAGAAGCCATTCTATTAAACTCATTCTATAAGGCCAGCATCATCCTGACACAAAAACCAAAGACACAACAACAAACTAGAAAACAAGAGGCCAATAACCTTGATACATACAGATGCAGAAATTCTCAACAAAATACTAGCAAACAGAATTCAACAACATATCAAAAAGGTTACAGGCCATAATCAAGTGAGATTCATTCCAGGAATGCAAGAATGGATCAACATATGCAAATTAATAAATGTGATACATCACATCAACAAAATCAAGGACAAAAATCAATGATCATTTCAATAGATGCATAAAAATAACTTGACAAAATTCAACATCCCTTCATGATAAAGATGCTCAGCAAATTAGATATAGAAGGAAAGTATCTCAGCACAATAAAAGCCATATATGACAAACCCACCACTGATATCATCCTGAATGGGGAAAAGTTGAAAGCTCTTCCCTTAAGAACAGGAACAAGACAAAGATGCCTACTCTCAGCACTCTCATTTAACATAGCAATGGAAGAACTGGCTAGAGCAATCACACAAGAGAAAGAAATAAACAACACTGAAATTGAAAAGATGAAGTGAAATTGTCCCTGTTTGCAGATAACATGATCCTGTATATAGAAAACCTAAAGATTCCACCAAAAACTCCTGGAGCTGATAAATTAATTCATTAAAGTTGCAGGATAATAAATCAATATACAAACCACAGTATTCTTATACACCAACAACAGTCTAGCAGATAAAGAAATCAAGAAAGGAAGCCCATTTACAATAGTCACCAAAAAAATAAAACACCCAGGAATCAATTTAACCAAGGACATGAAAGGTCTCTACAATGAGAACTACAAATCGCTACTAAAAGAAATTAAAGAAGACACACAAAAAAAGACATTCCATGTTCTTGGATTGGAAGAATCAGCATTGTGAAAATGTCCATACTACTCAAGTCAATCTACAGATTCAATGCAATCCCATCAAAATGTCAATGATATTCTTCAAAGAAATAGAAAAAACAATTCTAACATTCATATAGAATAACTAAAGACCTCAAACAGCCAAAGCGATCCTGAGCAAAAAAAATAAAGCCGGAGGTATTTCACTACCTGACTTCAAATTATACTACAAAGCTATAGTAATTAAAACTGGCATAAAAACACTTGGACCAACGGGACAGAATAGAGAACCCAGAAATCAATTCGCATACTTACACATGATCTTTGAAAAAGGCACCAAGAGGATACACTGCAGAAAGGACAGCATCTTCAGCAAATGGTGCTAGGAAAACTGGATATCCATGTGTAGAAGAATGAAACTAGACTCTTTCCTCTTGCCATATACCAAAATCAAATGAAAAGTTTTAAAGACTTAAATATAAGACTTGAAACTATAAAACTCCTGGAACACAGGGAAACATTTCGGTAGGTAGGACTGGGCAAAGACTTATGAATAAGACTTCAAAAGCACAGGCAGCAAAAGAAAAAATAAACAGGATTATATCCAACTAGTAAGCTTCTGTGCAGCCAAGGAAACAAACAACAGAGTGAAAAGATAACCTACAGAATGGGAGAATATACTTGCAAACTATGCATCTGATAAGGGATTAATATCTAGAATATACAAGGAACTCAAATAACAGTAAAAAAAAAATCTGATTTTAAAAAGCGGGCAAATTTAATCTGATTAAAAGATTTCCAAAAGAAAAAATAAACAGGATTATATCCAACTAGTAAGCTTCTGTGCAGCCAAGGAAACAATCAACAGAGTGAAAAGATAACCTACAGAATGGGAGAATATATTTGCAAACTATGCATCTGATAAGGGATTAATATCTAGAATATACAAGGAACTCAAATAACAGTAAAAAAAAAAATCTGATTTTAAAAAGCGGGCAAATTTAATCTGATTAAAAGATTTGTTTGGCAAAGGAGCTGAATAGAAATTTCTCAAAAGACTTACAAATGGCCAACAGGTACATAAAAAATGCTCAACATCACTAATCATCAGGGAAATGCAAATCAAAACCACATCAAGATATCATTTCACCCCAATTAGGTTGGCTATTATCAAAGAGACACAGAATAACAAATGCTGGTAAGGATGCAGAGAAAGGGGAACTCTTTTACAGATAGAACTACCATACGATCCAGCAATCCCACTACTGGGTATATACCCAAAGGAATGGAAATCATCATGTTAAAGGGATAACATGCACTCCCATGTTTTTCGTAGCTCTATTTACAATAGCCAAGATATGGAACCGACCTAAAAGTCCATCACTGGATGAATGGATAAGGAAAATGTGGTGTATATACACGATCGAATACTACTCAGCCATAAAAAAAAGAATTAAATTCTGCTACTTGCAGTAGCATGGATGAGCTTGGGGAAAATTATGTTAAGTGAAATAAGCCAGGCACAGAGAGAAATGCATGTCCTCACTCATAAGTGGGAGGAAAGGAAGGGAGGAAGGAAAGGGGGGTAGGGGGAGGGAAGG